TCCACAGTTTGAAACGGAACGAAGGAAGATTTACTTCTAAAAACGCTCGCTGCGTCCTCCCGGACCAGCTGGACCGGATCAGCTGACGACGACGGGACTGTACCCGTAGAACCTCCACCACGCAACAAACAATTTGCGCTCCGTGTTAAAAGCGTGGTTCAAACAGACCCGGAATACAAAGCACCGCACCACACACGACGAATGTTTCAGCTCTTTTTCGCATCGCCGGGTTGCACCAAACAGAACGAGATCGCCGAAGTCAACGCCGCGCTGTCGTGAACCTTGGCTTGTGGTTGCGAACTCGTGGACCCTGTGACTCCCTTCGCTTTCAAAACACACACGACGATTACGAATGCTACTTTCCGTCTTCCAGGAACATCACAGGGGCACTTCTCCGGTCACGTCTTCACTATGTGCTCGCAAACTCCGAAGCTCTATGCGAAGCTTCTCGCGTCCCGTCAAACCAAAACAGTAGCGGCGCCATGCGTACTTGTCAGATTTTCTCCTGTCAAACAAAAACAACGAAAGCCAACCGGCGCTTGCTTCCAGCGTACATCGGCGTTGCGCTTGCGCCGTGGCCAGATCGCTTGCAGTTGAAGGTTGAAGCAAAAACGAAACCAACTGCAATGTCACGTGTTCACATCGAGGACACGCTTTTTATATCCATTTTAAGTGTTTGGAACGAATAATTAGACCCATGACTTTATTTGTGGTGTCTAAGAAACTGTTATCAGGACTTCTAAACTAAATACAAACATGGGCGACATGAGGGAAGCCGCATTGCCATCGACCAGAAGATGGCGGCGAGCACGGTAAGGGTGGGTTTCGCCAACGTCCTGCGACATGGCGCAATTGCTTCTGGTGCATATCTGTCTCCGAGATATGTTTCTTTCCGCGGCATTTGTCTCGACGGTCCTTTCTAAGTGCGTCCCCAAGCGTTCCGGTGCTTCGATAGCCGGCAATGCCGCGGTCGTCGCCGGGGGCGATGCGTGTTATTGAGGTCGGCTACACGGTTATGCGTGTATGACCGAACCAAAACACGTTTTTTAGAACCTCGCATGATTTCTGAACGAATTATCCGTTACTCATCGTGTAAATTTATGGTAATTTGTGTAAATAGCGTGTTTTTCACCCCAAATATTCGCCAAATACACGGGACTTGCTAACAGTGTATGATCAACAATGGCGGCATATAATCGGCTCCAGATCACGTGGCCGCTTGTTCTGGCTGCGAGTTGAGGGGGTGAAAAACGAACACGTGTTTCATGGGTCATTAACGTCAGGGATCCGTTCTAAGCGGTATTTGCGCAAAGTACGAACATTATTGCATCGCCCCTTTGAGAGAAACCAGCATTAAGCTGGTATGAGCTGGAATTAAAGGTTTGGAAGGAATAGAACAAGCGTTTAGGAATGTAAACGTAGCGAATTCGTAGAAGCTGCGCGCCGCGCTGAGCCCGGCAACCCTCACCCCGTTTCCTGTGTTCGGGCCGTAGCGCCAGGAAGAGGGCTTCTCTGTGGGTGGCGTTCCTTGGAACTATCCGCGTGGCGGCATGGCCTCCGAGATCCCAAGTACGCGAACACGCGCGCTTCGGGATCTCGAGGGCCATGGTGGCTGCATCTCAGTTATTTTATTCGCCGTCTGGGAGGGAATTTAGCGCGCGCCTCTAAGACTGCGAGAACCGACCAACTTCCTAATCTTAAGGTGTTAGACTGTGATGCTGCCTAACCAGCTCGTTTGCGTGCGTTCACTTCTCAAAAAGTCATACTGTCCTAAGCTTTGTTTTATCTGTCTGTTTACTCGAGTTGCCTCCTAAAAACTCCCCCCCGCCACCCCCCCCCCCGCCCTTCCCCCGTCCCCCCCCCCCCCCCCCCCCCCCAACCTGTTATTTTCAAATGCCTGAGTCCCACTCGAGCGACAAACAGAAACAGACGCGAGTGATAAGCTTCAAACACGTGCAGCATGCTCCCGATGATACCTTTGGCAGGCGTTTAGTCGTTCGGTGCTCGTGAAATAAGCACGAGTGGTTGCGAGCCTGCCAAAGATACCCTCGCGTTGCATGATGCTCGTGGTTGAGCATGGCCTCCTTTTTTCTACAAAGCCTGTCAACTCGCGGAAGACTCTGGTTTGAGGCTTGTCGCTGTCGTTTATTTCTGCTTGTCGCTCTAGTAGGACTCGGGCATAAGGAGTGTCGGCGAATGCCACTGCTGCTGGCAGTCGCGAACAGTGTGACAGGAAGAATGCCTTAAAACTCAAGCACGCACACAGGGAAGGTCAGGCACAGTGTAAACAAAGCAAGGGAAGTCTTCTTTGACATGTTGTTTCCGAATGCCTATATGAGAGTTTCTCTCTAGTGTACAAATGTTTGGTCAGAGTTGTAAACCGGAAACAGCAAGAAAACGTCCTTATGGTTCCAAGCTTCTACCTGTATTCCTCTACGTTACGTCACACGCAGGTACTTTGAAAAGGTAAGCCAAAGTTGTTTGTTTTCCACGTCACAGTGTTGAACCTTAAGATAGAAACAATCCAGATACTACTTCCCTCAGTTTTCTTACGCGGTTGCTGAACTTCATTGTGTTTGCGCTAGAGTTCCATTCACCGCCATGTTTTGTAAGGCTTCTATCAACAAACAGGGTCGCGAACGCTAGTCAAAGTGTGCTTGAGTCTTTTAATGTACATTCGCCAGCCTTAACATACCTACACGTCCACCGCCTTTTCATTAGCCTATATATTACATCGAGCCTAGGGAGGTTTGGGCATTTTCTCGACCCGATATCTACGGCTTAATAAGTGTGGCTCAAATTGATGGACCAGAATTAGAGCTGGGAAAGTCATGCGTGCTGCGCACTATGATTGAAGTCTTCGAATTCACCGCTTTCTTAGACGCTGAAATTCATTAAGATTTGGTGCCTGCGTTGCATTAATATTTCGAATATTACTATGAAAGCTGTACATCCACTTTCGACATGTTCTTTTTCAAAAGCAGAGTGTGTTTGCTTTCAATGTTTCTATTTTTATTTTGAATCTGTGGATTTTTTGATATGCTGGAGTGTTGAATGTCATGAAGCCAGCTGCTGGTTTTTTCTATGATCATATGCTATGACTGACGCTATTCAATGTTACGCTATAGTGGTCTCTGGTCGGGTCACAAAGTTCAAATGAGAGTGGTGGCAATGGCTCATCATGACGTGGTCGCAGTTGGGGTGAGGGTTGTTTGAGTATATATGATCAGATTCGTTTCGGTGTAGGGGCGGTTCGAATCCGAAACGGAGATGGTTTGGGGGGAGATTAACTGTAGTGGTTTCTTCGGGCAAACGAGTAACTAAACAGTGGTAAAAAAGTAGTGAATTTACTTTCATCTTACCACAAATTCGTCATTGACGAAGAAAGCATCATATGCCAAAAAGAATTCAAGGATGGTTAGACAACGACCCCACACGTTATACAGCGCACGCACACGCGCTTCTGAGAATGACGGTTACCGCCGAAGCACCACATGCAGAGTTAACGCAAACACGTTAACGTTGGATCAAAGAAAAACAAAAAGAAGAGACCCTTCTGCTACTCTGCTCCGCAAGCACAGCACAGTGGTTTATAAAGTTACCCTAGGCATGAGGAGCTGTTGTGGTGGGTTTGCTCGGTGTTGTTGTGGTGATCGGAGTGGATTTTAGTGGAGGAGCTGTCGTGGTGATTGGACTGAGCTTGGTTGTTGGACCTGTGGATGTTTTAGGAAGGGGTGTGGTCGGAAGAGCTGTTGTGGTGGTTTGTATGGGTTTGGTCGGTGAAGCTGCTGTCGTAGTTGAGGTGTGTGTGGTTGGAGGAGCTGTTGAGGTGGTTGGGGTAGGTCCAGGCGAGGGGGCTGGTCTGGTTGTAGTTATGGGTGGCCTTGGAATATAGCGAATCCCATTCTTGCGAAATCTATCGATGCGGTGGCGAATATGTGAAGAAGTGGAAATAAGCTTATAATATTTTGCCACAATTAGGACCCTGAATGGTAAGAAATCCACCACCCCACAAAGCCATCGGTTTTATCAGGGCATCCGGCTGCATGGTCGTTCGCTGCATGCCAGCGAGTGACATCTCTTGGCATATCTTTGCACTATTGATTGGGGCGGCTCATGAATTGTAATGGCTCTGCAAAGCTTGTGTGATGAAGCCTTAATGATAGAAACCCATACAACGTGCTAACAGAGGTTTCGCTGAGCTCCTCATGAAAAACAAGTACCGTCATCCTGAATTGTTACCGGGACATGTCACCCGCGTTGTATCCGTACATGTGAGGGTACGGTTGCGCTTAATAGCGATAGAACATGGCTGACACCGATTATCTCAGCTTATCAAAGGACAGCCAACAAGATAGGGGCCTGGTTCCAATGACACTGGGGCAAACAACACCGCTATTATCTGCACTCTCTTGTTCTTTAAATTAAAGCGAAATGCTTCTAAGCCGTCCTTAATTTTATCTGAAGGCGCGACACCAGCAAACGGAACATAAGAACTAGGCCTAAAACCTAACACCCTCGTTAAAAAAAGAAGACTTTTGATTAGGCATTTCTGACATTATCGTGACAGTCTGTTTTTCCAAATGGTGACAGCTCCGCTCTAAGGTTAGCGAAATCATCGCCAGATGTAGTGCACAAATTTGACAGAAGTACTGTGTCATCGTTTAGCTTGTGCCTTCGTAAGCTCAGGGCCCCGTCAAGATTCTCAAAGCGCGCTTGTCATCAATCACAATGACAAGGACATTTGCGAAACGTCTGGAGCACAGCAGGCGCTGTGTGCTTCGGCCATGTGTGAGCGGGGCTTGGATGAACGTTGACGGCCCGAACCGGCGCCAGACCATATGATTGCTTGTTATTTCCGTGAGTGGAGTAGCTGAACGGTGCTTGCTTATTTTTAGGGGTGAAGCTCCTCAAGGTCTAGCCTTTTCCGTCGTCCGTGCTCATATCGATTGCCATCTCATCTGTCTTATCAGTGTTCTTAAAAAAAGAAAACATCTTTGCGCAGTCGACAGGATTGGAACCTGTGCGAAGAGACTCCAATGGATTTCAAGTCCATCGCCTTAACCAGTCGGCCACGAGTGCGGGACGAGTAGGGGGCTCTGAGATGTGGTAGTAACTCAAGAGCTGGGAATGTCATGGAGGCAACTTTGCATGTAGTCGTTAAATGTCTATACAGGAGAGGGCGCTGCGGTCAAATGAGCATATAATCGCGTTAAACTTTGCATGCATTGACTCAACGTTTATAGACGAGAGGGCGCTGCGGTAAAATGCTCAAATGCGTATATAACCACGTTCCATACCACACATTCTCTTCCTGATACGTTCCCATGGCTTCTAGCGGATCCCAGCTGATCCGCTAGAAGAACCTCTCGCTCTGCATTTCACCGACCATAAAGCAGTAATAATGAAGTCGAAACGCAACCAGGAACTGAGCACTACCTATGAGGAATACAAAAAAAAAAAAAAAAAATCAGCACCATCAGCACTACCTATGAACAAAATCAGTATCATCAACACCACCGGAGCTTCGCCTCAATCGACATCATTCACCACATGGAGATCCGGTCAGTTGTCTTAATGTTCTTTAGTGAGCAATATATGACATGAAGAAATAAAGATGGATGCGTGTACTATCAATAAAATTAGAACTATAAATTCAGTGAGAATAACAATAAACACAAATACCGATAAATTGAAAAATAAACATAGACAGTATTTTCATAAATAAGATGTTTTATTTTTCTTTTTAGCTGTGAATTACTATACGACATACGACGTTTCCAAGCGATAAATCTACGAAGGTGTAATTGGGATTACTTGAGTTCTTGTATTGTTGAGTAGTCTAATACAAAAATAAGTAACTACAATTGAAATATACACACTTCCGTTGGTTGAAATGACAGAAATGAAAGCAATAAAACTGCCGAGAGATAACAACAAAGCAGAAGAAAGAAAAAGCGCTCGGTCTGTTTGTCTCTTTAACGTTGTCTCTTGCGCCGATATCCTTTCAAGTATCACAAATATAACTTGAACTGCTCGTGGCGTACTTTATTCTTTCGTCGGTGACTGAGAGGGGAAGCAAGTAATCGATTAAGTGAGTCTAAAGAATGATCAGATAGATTAAAACAAAAGATCTGTTTTGGGACAGCATGACGATGTATCTCATTTCGGTATATCGGTGTACAATGCAGGTATTGATATGGAATCTTCTTACAGCGAAGCTAGGATCTCGAAAACAATACACTCATAGATGTCAACAAAAAAAAAAAAAAAGTGAAAGCCGTTTACAACTCCCTGTAACGCCGAATTGGAGCGCAGCTCTTGAGGAGGAGGAGGGAAGGGTACTGGAGGGGAGGGTAGACCCCTCCTCCTCGGGGGGAGGGGGTCACGTGAAATCGGGGGGAGGGGGTCACGTGACCTCGGATGGGGGGGGGAGGGGGGCCACGTGACCTGGGGGGTCACGTGGCGGTCACCTTGGGGGTCACGTGACCTTGAGGTGACCTTGGAAGGGGTCACGTGACCTTGGGGTGACCTTGGGAGGGGTCACGTGACCTTGGGGTCACGTGACGTTAGGAGGGGTCACGTGACCTCGGGGATCACCTGACCTTGGGTTGACTTTGGGGGTTCACGTGACCTTGGGGTGACCTTGGTTACGCCGACGGCGACGCCCACGCCGCTCAAGCCGGAAACGGGCGCTTAAAAGCTGCGCTCTAAAACTCCCGTCGAAACGGCGCTCCTTCGTTCCTATCGGTCGTGGCAAGTATAAATAACAAGAGAGTGCAACCCGCATGAATCAGCCACCTTCCTTGGCATTAGCAGATAGTGAGGTCCTGATACCTTGTTATCTACGGTCAGCGACTTATCTCAGCTAAGGGTGCGCTGTGACGAGACTGAGGGCAGAACGTACCGATCTAACCTTTTTTTCTTTCGCTTCCGCGATGCTGATGAAGAGACTTAAATTCCATCGAAAAAAACTGTCCTCGAGGTGTTCCTGGAAACATTTGGTTTAGAACTTGCCCATAAGTGACCATAAGGCAATGATCACTTCAGTCACTAAGAAATAAATAAAGACAATTAAACAACGAAGACGTGAACGAGTCTCCATTGCAATCATATGTAAGTCGTATAGATGTCGTAAAGTTGTAGTAAAGCTCTAGTAAAGATAAAAGCTTGGCTGGTTTTTCGTCTGCACGTGAAGTGGATGGCCTCTACGATTTTTTGTAAAGAATGTGACCAAGATAAGAGTAGAACAGGGGTGTGGTAAAGGTACATCTTATAGACGCGGATGATTAGCGCCGCGTAACAGATTGGTGAACAGTTGGTGTTCGGTGGCGTGCACTGCGCGACACGGTTAGCAATAACAAAGCATTGCCGGGAGCCTATAGTTACTCTCCGTATTAATGGACTGTTATCAAAAGTACTATAGCGGTAGAAAGCGCCAAGTAGAGGTTGTAAGCTAAAGGGTTAAATTTTGATTTCTATTTATAAGCCTTCGAAGTAAACTGCAAAAATAACAACAACACCGTTGATGTTTACAATGTAAACTGACAAGACAGACTTTCACTTTCAACGAAACGTATACTGGCTTGACTTTCGCCACCTGAAGTTCGACGGGGGCGTCGGGGAGGTAGAGAGGGAGGAAGGAGGGTGGTGATTGCCCGGCCTCATACGTTGGCGAAAGTAAGAACTTCGCAGAGAGGCTCTCGCGACGCGAATATGATGTCCGGAAGAAGGATGTGGAGGCAAGCGCCCTCGCGGAGCACGCAGAGGCAGCCGGCCACACAGTCGACTTCAAAGGAAGCACCGTGCTGGCATTGGAGAGGAATTGGCGAAAGCGGCTCTTCGTTGAGTCTTGGTTTATCCAGCACACAAAAGGGAACGTGAATCGTTCTTCCGGCTCCCTGCCCAGCAGCTATGTCTTGGGACTGCGCGACGTGAGCGAAGCCCCCTACATCCGTATGTGCATTTAGGCGACGCGTGTCTTTTTTTTCGTCAGTCACCCGTGAACAAGGGACCGAACTGGTCCCAAAACGTCGGGTAAATGTTTATTATATTAAATTTTTGGTTAGAGTCCCTATTTTTCTTTTCATGTCTATTCCTAACCAGGCAGATGGCTGGCAAACGTTTACCTTCAATTCAATTTTCGATGACTACGGTCCAGACACGTGTCAGCTTGCAAGGCGGTATGTACATCTTACGTCTTCCGTCACCACCTTCAAGTCTCATCTTACGTTCAACAAGAAGTGCAAAGACCTCGGCTTTGTGCCCAAGAGCCTCTGCCTCAAACGTTTTGTCCACACCGCTGAGGGACATCGCGTCATCGACCAGGCAGAACGCCGCCTTTTGTGTGCCCGGATCAACGAATGCCATGACACCATCAAAAGGAAAGACATGGAACTCTTTTTCATGCGACGACAGCTGGAACATCAAGTACCTGAAGTGTTCCAGGCCCTGAATGCTTTGGCCAGGGACACCGCTTCCACGTGCTCTCGGACCAAAGAACAGGTGCATGCAAAGAAGCTGGCTGCACTTCAGCCGGACAACTCAGCCTCCAGCCTCCGCGGTGTCGACACAAGGGTCGTGTGCAATTTTTCTTTGGGAGGGCTCTCCCCTTCAGAGACATCGGTACTGGCAAGAGGCCAGGGTTTTAACTTAACCACTCGCAAGCTCCCCCTTTCCGCTATGGTTGCGTCCATCGAAGACGGTCTTCGTGGGTTGGACCCGCCTACTCGCGAGGAGGCTCGGTTGAAAGCAATCGGCGTCATATCTCAGGCAGTTCAGCGGAAACCTCTCAACATTTCGGCAGAGGAAAACCAGGCCTTGCGTCGCCTCAAGGAGGACAAAGACATCGTAGTGTTGCGGGCAGACAAGGGAAACGCCACCGTCGTCATGGCCAGGGTGAAGTACGACCAAAAGCTGCTTGAGCTCCTTGGCAGCAGTGCCTACACTTCCTTGCGAAGAGATCCCACAAGAAAAGTACAAGAAACGCTCAACAAACCACTGGCAATCATCTTCCAGAAATACCCTGACTTCCGCAGGCTTTACATGAGGCTCATCTGCAGGAATAGATCCATCCCGGCGTTGTACGGTCTCTCCAAGATGCACAAGGCCGGTGTACCACTTCGACCTATTGTGGACTTCACAACGTCACCGTTGCGCGCCGTCTCCAACTACCTCCACAGGCTTCTCTCACCCCTCACCGGAAAGACTCCAACGTACGTGCAGAGCTCTAGTAACTTCATAGAGCTTGTTTCCGATTTAGAGCTACTTGACGACGAGAGCCTCGTCTCTTTAGACGTGGTGTCTTTGTTCACCAGCATCCCGTTGCCATTGGCGATATCTACTGCAAGAAGTGCTCTCTCGGCAGACGAAAAACTCCCGAAGAGAACGTGCCTATCGGTTGAGGAGACCTGCCGACTACTAGAGCTCTGCCTGAACAGCACATACTTCTCATTTAACGGGAAGAGAAGAAGCAGAAGATACGGGAAGTTTTTTTGTTTTTTTTATGTCTTTTAAGCAATCCTCTCACCCCGCAGGAAGCGAATTTCTTGATCGGAAAGAGAATGGGATGGGCCGGACAGGTTTGAGACAGAAGATTTGATATGTAGAGACTTAAGGATTTCCCTGCCGAATCGAGTTTCGGCCGAGAATTTTGGTTTTTGAGAACTCGGGGATGCAAGAGGTGCAGTTTTTGGCGTGAGCCACGACTGGATTGAAGGAGTCCGGAGAAGGAGACGAGATCTCCTTGGCGTGCTCTCGGAGATGGTCGTTCACGCAGCGCCCCGTCTGACCGATGTACTCGGCTCCGCATACAAGAAGAATACTATACACCTTCTCCTTTGTGCAGGGCCGGAAGCACTGCGCGTGTTGTTTTGTGTACGTTGGGGGGGGGGGGGGGGGGGGGGAGGGGAGGGGGCTTCTGGGTTGGTTCTGGGTTGGTGATCCGCTTGCACATGCCTCCCAATTTAAATTTACATGGGAAAGCAACTCTGGTGTCGAATCTATGTGCAAGTGCGCGCAGTCGGTGTGCCGTGTTGTGGGAGTAAGGGGCGCACGCTGCAGACTGCAGTATGAGCTTCTCG